CTGCCTTCAAATACAAGTGTGAGACCCTTATTTATTTTTAAATAGAAGCTGTGATTTTCACATATTCATCCAACTCTACCATTTGTGGCTTAAGAAAATAAGAAATATCACGAGACTTGTGACAAAAATCACAGGATCTGGCAACACTATACTCTGTGATATCCCACAAATAAAAGTAGGTGTTCCCCACAGGAGATATTTCTGTAAGGACTTAACTGCTGCAGGTATGGTGTTCACTGGGTTCCCATGTAGAGCACTCAGCACTTCCCAGGCCCAGGCACTCGATGTTTCCAGCATGGCAAATGAATTCTTTCATTTGTTTCAAAGAATGAATTTTCATTTAAAAGGAATTAAGGATCAGATACCCTCCTATAACAAATAGTATGTCAGCTGGCTTATAAACCATTCCCTGTTTAGTATTTAGCATAATATCTTAAAAACTGTTTTTCGGTTTTCTGCAAGCAGTCAAAGCTTGACAACTGACCAGTGCAACAGGCTCAGCAGAGTTGCTTGCTCTAGGAAAACAGTTTTAAAATACAGGGTGAGGGAATGCAAATAACCGGTTTCTCTGATAAATGCTGTTGACAATTTTTTAACCTGTAAAGAATTATCCTGTCATACTGTAACATACATCAATTAAATTATAAGCATCCATGCAGGGAAGGGGCTGTCTTGTGCTTGTTTATGTAGTTTGTAGCATTTTAACTTGTTCTTTAAGTGCAAGCCATCAGTTCCATAAAATACACAAGGAAATGCAAGTCTTCTGTAGCAGAAATAGGAGCCTGAATCCATTTGAAATCACTGGTTGGCAGACATTTAAGGGTTAACTTAATAAATATGAGTTTTTAGATGACTATTTTAGATTCCTATCTGCTTTCATCTCTTCTGCACAGCACTTATTTTCCTTCTGACAATAAATAATGTTTACATGAGCAATAAAGCTAACTCCAGGGGGTGCAGCCATCATAAACAAAGAACAGTCCCAGAGGGAACAGAGCCACAAATCTTATAAAAAACAGTATGGGTGTTGTTTCCTTATCTTGTTGTAACTTTGCGCCTCTTGTGTTGGACACCTAAATAAATAATAGTAATCCAATGCTCTGGCACAGAGACAGTAAATTTACCTAGCTTTGCTGTTGCTTCTCATGGCTATCAATGTCCTTGTCATCTCAAGGTTTTACTTTCCCCATCAGACATTACTCAGATTGGTCTCATCTGTAGAACAGCGTAACTCGGCTCCCTTCTCACTCAGTGTGTTGACCCACACATCCCAACAAGTGAATTTATTTCATTCAGTGACTTGCAATCATATTACAGCATTTTAAAGTCACATGATAAAATTAAAATGCCAGGTAGCTAAATCATTAAATCCATCAACGTTATCACGGAGATGTAGAAGAGGAAGGAAATTCACGAGCTGCAAAGAGCCAGGATCAAGCATAACTGGGCCACCCTTCACACGTGTACTGCATCTGCTTTTAAAAAATCAGGCACAACATTACTAGTAGAACAGGACAGTTCCCTCCCGTGCCTACAGCTCTGTTTAATCCTAGGTTGAGATGTGCCTTCTTTGCAAATTGATTGTTTAATAATTTGTCCTACACTCTTTATGGGGATCAGAGAAGCACCTTCATTCTGGTACTGGAGGTTCTCTACTCTCCCCTTATTAAAGTTAGATTTGCCCTTTCCCATCTTCTAAGACCTTCCTTGTCCCTTCACAGTTTCCTGAAGCTGTATCAATGATGGTTCAAGTATTGCTTACCTAATTCCCTAGTGCTTTAGGATGAATTTCATCAAGGAATCAAATTTATCTTAATATTTATGATCTTTTTCTTGCTTTATTCTAGGCTGCAGTCCTAGTCCCATATTAAAATTCATTGCATTAACCAGTGAACTCTTCAGTGATGCCTGATACAAAGTAGACGTTAAGTGGTTGTCATCTCTGGGTCCATTTTTGCTTTTCCCAAGAAATACCTTACTTGCAGTTTTACTCTGTGTTTCTTCCACTGCATTTTTCTCTTCTTTCATTTCCCTTGCCTACTGTAACTCACGTTCCCTCTTACCTTTCTGAACAGCTCCACTCACCTCTTTTTGTGCTGCTCCTCAGTCATTTGCCACATTTCCATGTTTTGAGTTTTTCCGTTCTGATTTTCATGTCCTCAGAGTTCCTGAGGGAGCTGTATCAGATTTTTGCTGTCCTCTGCGTTGGTTTGTCTGGCATGCCTTTAAACAGTCTCTGCTAGTGACTGCCAGCTCTCCTACACTCCATCTATCAGATTTTTTCTGCATAGATCCTTTGTACTTGTTATTTCAGTATGTCGAAATTTGCCTTTTTGAAGTCCATTTTCCTTATTCTGCTGCTCTTCCTCTTTTTCTTAAAAATGTGATGTCACTTATTTTCACATTCACCCACATGTCACTTTTGACTTTTAAGAAGTTTTTCCTTGCTCTAGTCAGAAGCAACTGCCACCCCATTTCCCACCACCTTTGGAATAAAGCAGTCACCAAGACATATGTTCAAACTCCTGGCAGCTGTACACTGTTCCATCAGAGAATTAGACAAATAAAGCCACCCAATATTAAAGATGGTTCTGTTATTTCCCCAGGTAAACTTCTGCCAGCTCCTCCTCCTAACTGCAGAATCAGGGCTGAATGCCCAGCAGCTCATGCTCCATGCTCCTTTGCCCTTCATTCTCCAACTACAGACATTAATTAATGAGTATTTCACCTCATGCTGAACTGCAGAGAATATATAGACCTTTCTTCTCACCTGTCCTACCTGGAACAAGTTATTATTTACCGTGCCAAGATCCTAGTCGTATCATTTGTCCCACAAGCACTTGTAATTCTTATTAAGTTGTGCCTTTTATGATGTGGAAAGTCTTTAACTTCTTTTTGCATTTAATTCTAATGTACCAGCTATTTGTATAGGAGTATCTCAGATGTTTGGGTGGTTTTCCCAGCCTTTGTTCCTCTCTATGCTCCTTTCACACATTTTGTTTTCATTTTCATCCACCTGCAGACTTTCACCACTGATGCTATTCAAGCCTTTGTTCTCAAACAGGACCCAGGAGTGCTTTCCTCTGGCAGATGGAGCACAGCCATTCCCAGCTGTCCTGCCAGAAAGCCTCATGCCAGCAGTGAGAACAAGCTGCTGCTGCTGTGACGGCTGGAGCGCAGAGCTTTGTGCAGAGATTTCACATCCTTGCATCTGATTTTCCACTTGAGGGCACCCTGCTAGGGCCTCCAGCTGGCCCCTCTTAGGGACTGCCTTGCCCCGAGACTTTATAACGCAGCTTCTCAAAAACTTTCTGAGCCTTTTGCGTCCTTCCAAACATCACCAGTGACCCTGTGAGCTGCCTGGCACGGCTGCAGCAAGCTGGTGGTGCCTGCAGCCGATGGGACAGGCAACAGAGCCAGTGCCAGCCCCGCATGCAGCCAGAAGCTAATGCTGCACATGGGATGCAAGAGTACATCTGGGTACAGAAGCTGTCTGGGTCTGGTAGGGTACCAAAAAACTGCAGACAAAATGGTTCACAACACAAATATGTCCTGATAAACATTGGCTAGTATTAATTTAATGAATTGAGAACTTAACTGGGACTTGTGCTGAGAAGTATATCCATTATCCTTTTTGTGGCACATATTAAGAAGTACATTGCAGGGGTGCAGACTGTTGTAATACATAGAAGAACTGAGCTTATTAGGAAAAAAACCCAAAGCTCCTTTGCTACTACTTCCGTATAGCTGAAGTTCTAGTATGTGTTTTTAAACTCTGCCAAGTATGGCCAGGATGGAACAGGGCATTTCTAGGCCTGCCAGCAAGCTACAATAATTTGAAACTTCACAACTGAAGGTCTTAAGAGGATACCTGATTCATAACAAGCAGGACATACAATAAAACAATTACTGGGGCTTCAGAGGAAGCTAAAGGAGCCACATGAGCTAGCCAGATCGTATTTCCGTCATGACAGGAATGTGACAATACCCATTAGACAGCTGATGACAGGGGAATAAATAAGGCTTCAACTTGAACAAAAGTAACTATACTGTAACTGTAAGATATACATGTGTGTGCATATAAACAGCATAATAAGAGCCATATCAGTTACTTAACTATTCAAAATGGACAAAACAAGAAAAAAATACCTTGTTTCCTGACACAGTGGACAGATTAATAATAGGAAAAGAAGGCAGGTTTCCAAAAACTACATTGTCCCTTCATTTAGAGTGCTCTCACAGGGATGCTGCAATGACTATCTGAGCCACACTGCTCCAGGAAGGTTTCCCCACCTGCAAGCCCGCACACCAGCTGCTCTCTTGCACTCTGACATGTACACCAGCTATAGGTGGTCGATAGCATGCTCCCTCATGGGGCAAAATTTGCCATAGTAAGGCAGCACATCCCTCCATACACTCTCCCCTCTCTGACAGGCTGGTGGATCTGGAGATGTGTCTCTACTGCACCCAGTTTCACATGGTGTCTAAATGCAGAGCAGATGAATTAAACAAAAAGGCCTTCGTGATATAAAACAATGGGGCCTTTTAATTAAAAATGAAATTTTATTGTAGTTCTATCATACTACTGTGTAAAACTATGGGGGATTTTTCATTCAGAAATGCTTACAAAAACACTGGTTAAAAGAAGGTTGCAATCTTACTAATGTGTAATTATCATCAGTGATTTTGTATGAGGCAAATATACAAATTGGCTACCATTTCTCTCTAGAGGTACAGAAGAATGATATTATGCTTTTGCCATAGTCACAACACATAGCACACCATAGAGAATGGCTACGGACTGCCCAGCCTCAACACTCATTTTTTTATTTTTATTTTTATTTATATCAGGCCTTGAAGCATTTCTGTTAAATAACCATCTTGGAATATAGAAAACTTTCAAATTCATATGAATAATTAACTTTCTATGTTGTCTTTAAGGCACATATTTCTATCCAAATTTCATTTTGGTCCAGAGGAGCAAATATTTCAGACATCAGCTATCCAGGTATCTGACAGCTCGGTTTGTTACAACTATAATTATCCTTATGTCCATAGACTTCAACAACATGTATTGAATCCACTATCTGTACCGCAGTGTTGTGTCCTGGTACAGCTTGTTTCACAGGTGCACTACTGCTCTTGGTTAACTTAGGAAGATGGTCATTGTCTTTGTAACACCCAGGAGCTATGATGTCCTGAGTCCACTCCTCCTGGAACCTGTAAGCATGAAGGAAAAAGTTATTTCTGTTTCATTTGCTCTGGTGAGGATACAGAACTTTCCAATCCATTTTATTTGCACATCAGGCATTTTGCAAACAACCTGTGCTGTAACATATGGACTTGCTTCTCCTAGCATTAAAACCAGTTAGCAGCAGTGGGGCAAATAATTGTGTCTCTCTAAAAGCTGATGCAGACCTTGAAAAGACTTGTAAGGTTGGTTTTATTTGGAGTTGGAGCAGATGTTATTTCTTTGTGTTCCATCAAATGAGTCCCCAGCTTCAATTTAATGCTACACTATCTAGAAAATAGTACTAAGAACATTTGAATGCTGAGACTGGTACAGAAGGCAAATCCCTGCTTGGCTATCGGAGCACTGTTGGGAGCACAAGAGCCAGTTGTGCTCAGTGTTATTTGCAAAACTGCCAGCGATGCCTATGCAGTGCTGTCGTATTGTGACTTGTGCTAGCCCTTGACCACCAGACCTGGCTACCACCTGGCCCTCCCAGAAGGGACTGCAGGCTGGAACTCTGTATTTGCCAGCTGCGTGTGTATGCAGCACTGGCAGTCACGGATCCATCCCACACCCCACCTTTCCACACTGGGAAAGGAGGGCTTGCCCAGCTGTGGGGTAAGCCAGCACAGGCTACTGACCCAGACGGCAAATAACCAAACAGTGGGTGGTGTGGGCAGAGCAGTAGCAGTGGCAGACAGAGATGGCAGAGTTGCTGAAAAGATGCTCAGTGAACTACACACAACTGGTTCAGGAAAATGGGGGGATGGGATCAGCTTGTTCTTGAACTCTGCTGCAAGGGGCATGATGGATGCAGCTGGCTTTAAGCACACAGCTCTGTGAACCCGAAGAAGGCAAGACACAGCCCTCTTGGGTTTGTGTCAAATTACTGTAGTCTGAGTGTGTGGGCTTTTGTAAAACATCAGTTATTCCACGGCAGCTGTTTGCATACAGGGCAGATGCTGAGGTCAGTTGCCCCATATTCACTGCAGGTAAGCTAGCTCATGTGGCTTCTCTAGCTTCCTCTGAAGCTGTCGATGTTGGCCACTGAAGGCAGCAACCTGCACACCCACACCCAGGACAATGTGGTCTTACCCTTTCATACATGAAATGCTGATCAGGAAACAGAAGGTACATTCTGCAATTACCAGTTGCAGAAAGCCAGCAGATATGTTCATACACGAAACGTGCATACATATTAGGAACCACAGGGGAATAACAGAAAATAAAACCAAATAACTGAGGTCTTGCTGTGCTGATACAGAGTATGTATACTGCAGACACGTCTTTCTTGTAAAGGAGAACAAATCTTGCTCTTCACTGGAAAGCTGCATTACAAAACTATTTGGCACATGGGCTACAGTCAGATAGTGTAAAGGCATCTTAAACCACCTCTGCTTTTGATGGGAGAAGGCACTGTATCAGTGTAGTCAGAATATACTCATCAAGGAGGTGGTCAGGTGAGCAGAATTTACTCGCCTGTAATTTGGACAACAACAAACTCATCTATCAAAAAACAGCCTGGTAACTTTACCCACTTTGTATTGACTTGTACTGTTTCAATGGTGCACTTTAATCTTGGTGTGTCAAGAAGTCCTCAAGTATCATTGTGTTTGACACCAGAACACCTATCTCATTACCCCTATGGCTTGCCATCAGGGAACAGAAGCTATATGGACTAATGCTGCAGATCTTACTGCTGAAAGAAAATCTTTTGAGATACTTGCTACTGTGCTTTTTTTTTTTTTTTTAATAGCACAAGGAACTCAGTTTTACCTTCTTGAGTTGGCAGTCAATAGTTACAAAATAAAAATCAAATCAAAAGAGCGTGTACAAGGAGAAGAACTGGGTTAAAGTTTTGCATGGGGTAGCCACAGCCTTTGCAAATCACCCTGCCAGGATTATAGTTCAAATCTAGGTATTCTTGTTATTTTGCAATAAATATAGTTTACCTGGGCAGAATTCATCCTATTCTGATGTTTTCTCCTGTAAAGCTCTGCATTGTGAAACTCAATTATCCACAGTCCACCACCAACTCAGAAAGCCAAACTGGCTAAAACTGTACTTGGAGGACAACTATACTCCTAGCTAAGCAATCTCTTCTTCCCATTTCAGGAACTATTAAACTTCCATTGACTGAAATAAGTCTAGTATGAGGTGACAGTAGGCACCCTCCATTCACTATAGTACATCTAACCCTGTGGATGTCAGAGGGACAGTGAAGTCAGTGGAGTTCCACCTAAGCAGAGGCTGAGAAGAGCTATTAAGAATGTTGCAGTGTCGACAAGGGACAGAGAAATGTGCACAGAGTGGGCTCTCCTCTGTGCACGTGGCTATCAGTCAGACACAGCCTTCAGTTTGCACTTTCATCCTTGGGAGCTCTGCACTTTATCCAGAATATGTGTTACTTTTTTTCAAGTGCTTCAACTTTCCTTAACTCCAGTTTCCATCTGGGCTACTTCAGAACATCACAGTAAGAGGATCAGAAGACCTCCCTGTACTCTTATCTGGAAATGCAAACCCACCCAAGTATGCGAAGTGCTGAACAGCCTAGCTAGATACATTTTACAAGGACAGACTTTATGTGGCAGCTAAAGTTTCAGCTCCCATCTGGGGAGAAGAATAGCCACCATAGCATTTGTCAATAGGTTTTGGAGGATTCACAAGAATTTTGCTTTTTGTGAATTGAAAGCTGTTCCTAGCTGGAGGGGAAAACGCTGTTAACGGGACATCTGAGGAGTGTGAAAATTCAGAGCAGTGGGGCTGCCACAATGCTGCCCACTGCTCGCATGGGCTTTGAAAAGAGATTTTTGTACTGGAGGATGGGAGGGGATTTTTTTGTTGCTGTATGTCTGATGACTTTGTACAAGACCCTGGGGTAATCATGGAAGCATTATGAAAACAATAATAGCAGCTTTACTGAAAGCACATGTTGCTGGGCATACACCCCACCCCCACCCCCCCGCTCATTGCAATGACAATTAAGACTGAAATTCAGAAATCAGTATAATTTAGCAGCCAGCTGTCCTACCCTTTGAGACAGGGCCCCAAGATGAAACCACAACTCACTTCCCCTGCCTGATCTTTCTTTGAAATATGCGTGTCAAAAGGTACTGGAAGATTTTAGTCTCTGAAAGGTGGCAGTGGGGAACACAGAGCACAGTAATAACAAATCACAGGAATAAAAAAGCTTCCAAGAAAAGCTCAAGGTGGGACAACTCACAGGGGGGACAAGCTATATAAAAGCTTGAAAAGGAAATCTGCCCCTCTCCTGTGCTGGGTCTCCTCCCCTCCAGTCCTAAGTGCCACACAATCAAATATTGTATGTGTAGGGATCTGTATTAATTATGTACAATTGTATCAAACAGGTCTCTTGCAGCCATTTCACCGGATGCTTTATGTAGTGAAGTATTAAACACCACAGTGATGATTGGTCCTACATCTCTTCCTGCAGCTGTGGGAGCAGCCCACTGGTGGCTCTCTGCAATTCAAGCCTTGTAGCTGAGCGGGGCAAGGGGGCACATTCACACTTGCACAGACACTCAAGTACACTGTGCAAATGATCCTGCACATATACCACAGCCTTGGGCAGCAGGAGCCGCTCTCCATGCCCGAGCTTTCAGAAAAACAAGAGCAATTTCTGACAGCAAGGCCAATCATAAAAAAAAATGCATGGATCTTTTGGAGGCAGTGAAGGATCCAGCTCTCTGGTGAGACTGCTGACCTTCAAAAGCACCCAGATAAATCAGTTTCTCCAGGACCTCTAACAGTCTTACACTAAGTCACTGTTGCAGAAAATGTTTTGCCCACTTAATTCTCCCACTGATGCATGTCCTGGCAGTCATTCTAGGTGTCCTGGTGGGTTTTTCTTGTTCTACTTACGTTTCCCATTGAGCTTTGCAGCATCTTGTCTCTCAACATGGGTATTTCTTCAAGTGTTGTCCCTTTTCACTGTGGTAAATGTACACCACACTACCCTGCTAGTAGAAGGGCATCAGATCCTTCAGCTTTTAATCTCTTCTACTTAGGTGTTTAGAGGGGGAAAGCGGCTGGGAAAGTGCCCTCAAGGGGGCAGAGGGCAAGGTAGGAATGTGGCCAAGTGTCCCATCCCATCTTGTCCATACTTCTAGAAGGTCCTTTGGCTTACAGCCATGCTCCTCAGCAAGCCTGGGCAGACATGAACATTTTTTAGAGCAACAGAAGTTTCTGATTTGCACCTTCCTTGCAACCCCTTATACAAGGTAGCGGAAAACTTCAACAATTATAGCCACTAAATCAAAGAGAAAAAGAAAACACATTTCACTTTACTGTGGTGGCCAAAGCTATGAGCTAATTTCACCAACCTTGCATATGACTTCCTGGACTGACTGAAAATGCCGAGTTGCCTCTCCTAAGAGCATGCTGGCTTTGGTTTTTTGCAAAACCTTTTCACTTGGATGTCTTTGTTGTTGGATCATCCTTATTTGCTTTTTGCCAGGTACACTGGTAATGTATCTTGTAGTCAGAAAGGGCTCCAGTACAAAAACTTCAGGTACTAAAAGTATCTTCCATGGGAGAATATACTAGCCTGTTTCTCTGCAGAAGAGATTTTTTCTTCTTGGTAATATGCTCCACCTGTAGTGGATATCTGAAAGGAGGATTTTAAACCTACTGAGACACAGGCTTTTCCATTTGACTCACTCCTGCAGTCAGATCAGCTACTTCATAGAGAATGTTTTATAACTTTGCCTAGAGCTGTGTAAAATAATTCACCTCAAAACAGTCCCAATTTGGAATGCACAACTTATTCCAAATGCTTGCACACCAGGGGAAAAAAAATCACCCAATTTCTTTGCTGTTCTTTAGATGTATTTTTGAGCTGGACTAGTTTCTTTCTGGTTGTTGTCTTAGCTGACACAGGATGAAAAGGAGTTAGTCAACAGCTAAATTCAGTTCTCCCTGAGTGTGGAAAATACTGGACCATCAATTCTCCCTTGCAAAATAACAG